GGTATCTGAGTTTGGGAAATCTGGGTGCTAAACTTACTGTAAATACTGCCTTACAGCATCTTTGATTGCAAATGTCTCATAGGAAACTGTCCATTCTGAGTTGAACTGGAATGGAAGGATCCGGTGTTTAACTTTTCACGCTACATTAATGTCCAGTAGGTATTGTGATATCAAGCTAGAGGTGTACATATTTGAGGAAAAAAAAGATATCAATTCTATCATGACATGTTTTCGGATCCAAATCCCATATGGTTTTCAATCACGGAATTGTTTTTTGTAATCCTTGTATTAGGGTTAAATTTATTTTTATTATGTTAAAAGCTTTGGTTTTGTTCATACAAAATCTGGAAGTAGCATGTCTAGACTTCGAATTATATTAAATCCACTGCAATTTATCCAAGGATTATTTATTTGGGGTTATTTGTACAGAAGTGCCATTAATGTGTTGAGCAGTTTGTTCCTGGACTGCAGGGACATGACAGTCAGCTGTAACTTGAGGGTAAACATAGCATTTATTATGTCTGTCTGTCTTGAATGTTTTGCTGTTTTAATGATAGCAATGGTTCTTAGTTATTGTTGCATTCACATTACTTCTGGGCATGTTGACTGGACAGGCTGTCAAAGTATGATGTATTTAATGTGCCTACTGGATTTTGATACTGTCCTAAAGTAGAAAGCCTGGTGAAATGTTTTAGTGAAAAGTGCACATCATAGTCTCAGTTGTGGTTTAATGGCAGAGTTGCAAACAACTTCTTTCAGATATTTTCCAAATATGAAGTGTTAGGATTTAAGGGTTGGTAGTGTATTTGGAAATGAAAAGATTTTTTTCCCCCCACATAATCCATATTTTTTTACATAAAACAAAAAAATCCCCAGCCAACAACCAACCACTCTCACTTTGTGAAGTAATACCTTTGAAAAGTTACTCTATATTGACTGTAATGAAAAGATGTTTTAGTAAAAAAACCAGTGTACTGATTCACTTCAGTATGATACCCTTGGTAAGGATTTATCATTGCCTCCAAACATAAAGGTATTTCTATATTTTATATATA